TGCAAATTTAAGATAAAGATGGGATCGGGAAAGAAATGAAGCCAGGAATAAGAGAATACTAGAAATTAGACTCATAAAAGTAAAAAAATAAAAGTGGACAACGATTAGGACCCAAGTAAAAACTATGTTATAATGAAACGGAAACGGAACGTTTTGGCCCAATTAGCGTAAAACAACGTTCTAGCTCAATTAAGCAATTTTTTAAGAAATATCACAACCCTTTTAATGTTAATATTGTGACATTTCTTAAAAAACTATTTAATTTGATCAAGATTCATTAACAAATGAGGTGAGTGAAAGTGAAAATTGATAGATAAAATTAAAACAAGCACAGAAAAACATCGGAAAAACTGGGAAACACCATTCATTTTTTTCTTTTCCGACTCCGAATTATCTTATAGCATATTCCACCAATTAAAAACATATTGTAATAAAAATATAATTATTACTGAATGCTATATAGTCACATTTCAGTACCATTCTGGATATTTCTTCAATGAGAATCAAGATTTCTACATGACTGATTACCAGTTTAATACTGAAGAGCAGTAAGGCTTTTGCTAATAAGTAAATTGAAAAACTGTACAAGCACTGGAACATTTAGTAAGAGAGAACGAAAATGCAAGACAGCGAACGCCAAAACCACAAAAAGCTAATCATCAGATAAAAAAGCTTTAGTCAGATGAGCGACGAAAAACTGCCAACTGTGGTGGGGCAATAATCTGATACGATGAAATGAGTAAAAAAGCTGATCAAAGCATAATTTTGCTTACTCTCACTTTTAAATATCTATTTTTTTCGAATCGCTACAGCAAGTTCTAGCTGATCGTACAGTTTCACAAAGTTTTTTCTTTTATAACATAAGTATGCAGAAAGTCCTTCAAATGATTTTTAGATAAGGCAGCTATGACAGTACAACCAGCGAGTGGTCGCAACTGACGAACTGCCACCGATCGAGTCAATTTTGGATGCCTTTACCTCTTTCAAAAAACAACATAAAAATGAGATCTTCACTACCATACTTCTATAGAAAAAAATTTGGCTTACATTATGATCAAGCTGAGCTCCAACATTCTTCTTTAGCACCATATGCAACTGATCGAATCTAAACAGAAACTGCAGTGGAAAAAACCCCACTTGCAAAATTTAATCAAACTTTTATGCAGTCCATTTACCGAACGATGTGATGACCAGCATTTTGATTTAGCGTGGGCAAGGGAGCGAGGAGGGAGGGCACCAAAACTGCCTGAATGAGGTGGAAAGGTGGCTCAAAATCAAGCCAATGTTTCATAATATTTGTTTAATAAGAATTAAATGCTAAGACTATTAGTCTTAAACAGCACCATTAAC